AAAAGCAATTCTACAAACTGAAATAATTTCTGCCAAAATATAACACACCTGAGCCGATTGCAAGACAGCAACAACACGGGGACTGCATCGCACTAAGTGAACAATTGATCTGAATCTCAAAAGATGTACATAGGATTGAGATCTCAAGGAGTAAAACCAAACTACAGTAGGCACGTAACTTCCCTTAACCGATTCATTGCAGTGTTTGGTGGATTCATTACTAGGAACAACTGACCCCTCCTGATTATTAATATCCCCAGAAAAGGATCCATCAGCACAAACAATCAGCAACGGGCGACTTTCTGCAAACCTATCCCCAATTTTATTCGGGGACAAGGGTTTTGGTAACATCTGCAGAAATGAAACCGGACCATCGTTCCTGGAGACAAGGTTATGCACATTGTCTACTACTTCAACATCCCAGACCTGAAATCCGTAGCTGAACCCCAGCAAGAGAACCTGCCTTGTGATACCTCTTTCAAGTTCTAATACGTCAAATCCAGCCCAAGAGACCTACAATTAGGGCCAACATATATTTAGGCACGAATATTATACACATCACAGTTATGTACGTATTTAATCTCACCTAAAATGAAAACATATTGTCAAACAGTAATAATGTTAATAACAACAAATACAACAGGAAGACATAAGGAATTGATGTTATTAGTATAACCCTTACGTTCCCAAGAGGAACAACTTTAAGCCAAGTCAAAAACACAAATGCAGTGCAAGCATCAGCATATACTCCATGCAATTTCTCAGCTTGTTGTGGGGGCAAGTTAACTTGAACATTTTCAATGTAAAGTACTAAGCCTGATCAAGTTTATTAATGAATTTGGTAGTTAAGGTTCTTGCTTTTACCTTAATTTCCAACGACCATGTTCTCATCATTTTGATAAACTGTGAAACACATCAACCAGAACAATGTCCTGTAATACCTCAAATGAAAGAAATGCAAACCACATTTGGGTGCATTTGAATGACTACTTCCGTATGTAAAACTATGTTGGATTCAACTTAACTATTTCATTGCCCATTCAGATCCAATAAAATGGTACTCCCTCCATCCGTCACATAAAGATAATCCACATTTTTATTCAAGGTTTTTGAAATAGGTAGTCTTGTTACTCTAAAGAATATTTAATGAACGAAACAACCAATAGTAAAATTATCGAATAAATTAATTAATTCAGAGTGTGTTTTACTTCCATAACATTGTGTATTCTAAAACTGTAAAAATTGTCACAACTCTATCTTTGTAGGACATGGGAGAATTAGGCTTGTTCAATGAGTTCATATTAGAATTGGATAATGTTTTAAGACATTGATTTAGGATCATAACCAAACAATTTTTCAGTCCAGTCGATGAATATGTAAGTACAACACTTGAAAAACTACAACGATATAATTTTCACTTAAATCACGCAGAACTATGAAAAGATAATACTTCAGGAACTATAACCAGACATATTTACATTTATTACGCGTAAATTTTTTCACAAATTATAACCAGACATATTTACACTTATTACGCGTAAATTTAGACAAATACAAGATTATTTTCATTTTTATACGAAACCAACAACTTTCACAATTCATTTCCATTACAAAAGCAGGAAACTAGAATGGGAACAATTACTTACGTGGCCTAAAGTCCCAGAACACGTAGATTTTCTAGCCAATTCCTAGTCAGAATTTGTAGATCCATAACAAACCAACCTTAATTTCTCAATTAAAGATTTGTCGTATATGGATGTTAATGACAAAACACGCAAGAGATTCAAGACATATCCTCAATGTGGATGACGTGACAAAATAACCGTCAAGTTGACTAAAATGGTAGACCTAAGGCCTCTGAATATCCTAGCAAACACAAGGCCCAATCCATGCATGTAAAACTATATCTACTAATTGACAAGTCGACAAATTTTGTGCAATAATTAAATAATCTCATGTCGTGAATTTTTTTATGATGACCAACATTCCCCCACCGTCAACAATCGCGAGAAAAGCTGAAACAGCACTTCTAACAAAAAACGTAAGCCTCAGACATTTACCGGTACATCTTATTTCCAACTAAGCAAACATATTACTGTCAAGGAACAAGACGACAAAAATCATAAATAAACTGAATAAAGAACAGTAAGTCGCCGTCGCCAACAATAACTTTAAAGCAAACAGGTCATTCAAATAACGAGTCAAGTATTAAGCATCAAATTATAAACATTAGGTTAAGCAGTCCTAAAATACAAGAAAGAACTGCATGTAAGAAGCACTTCTAACAACTGAACCATCCAAAAAATTAACAAATAATACTTGTTCAAAGACAGATAATAATAATAATAATAATAATAATAATAATAAAAATAATAATAATAATAATAATAATAATAATAATAATAATAATTCAAAACAAGCAGAAGAGAAATCATCAACAAAGACGACCAAAAGATCCAATATTTATCAAAGCAATATGGTGATGCAAAAGAACATGATGTATATTGACTCTTGTCTACCTTATGTAAAGCAACAATAGTGAATAACCCACCTACATGGGAAAAGCCAATTACAAATTCCACTCATTAATGAATACAAAACATGAGCAAATAAAGCTCCAACTACGAAACACATAATCACAACCTTGCATTTACACCACTTCAGAACTTCAAGGGACTCAATACTGGATCAAATAAATTGGTTTTCTCATTCTAATTTTTATCTACATTTAGACCCAAAGATACATGCATTCATAAACAAAGGGTAATAAATATCTCCTTCTAAAATGCAATTAGATCACAAAAGAACACCATACCTATCCTAGTTTAAATGAACTTCAAAATGTTCAAGCAATTACCTATTTATTATCCAAGACACATTCAAAGGAAGAAGAAATTATCTACAGTTACAGTAAAACAAACTGTCTGCAACCTTAATTGCCAGAAATCATCTTTTCCTACTTGTAGGGCAACAATCAAACTCTAACTGAACCATGCTGTTAATATTTCAAGCAACAAATCATTCATGCCATAATTCAAAGAAAAAAAATTATCTTTTTCAAGAATCTCACCTGATAATGGTTAGTCTCAACATCCTTCTCCACAACAGCAGAGGCAGCAGATGCAGCAGACCTTACGGTAGAGGCCACAGTCGATGCACCTGACGAAACAATCTTCACGTAGCTGGAAAGAGCCTTAAACGAGCTCGGGATAATCCCATTATTACCCCTACCCGGGATTGGCACAAGTGATCCACCGTCTCCACTTCTTTGGCTATCATTCCTCATCCCCAAAACCTAAGACCCTTCACTTGCTCAGCCCTCTAATTAACATAACCCCATTGCACAGCTCTGCCCCTTTTATGGAGTATTCGTAATTATGCCCCAGCTAAGATATAAGCCTTGGGCTTACAAGTGTCTCCATCCTACGCTTACAACTCAGAGACAGCCGATATCATGCAAATCCAAACAAAACAAAAAAACGGTTCGACTACACTGGCCAACATCGTATACCTCAGTCTCATCACATTAATCACACCACCACCAGCCCAAGAAAATACAAATCTAGAAAGAGCCCGAAAAACAACTGCATATTTCTGATCGCGTAAATCTCAATAGAAAATACCAACACAACAAAAATAATACCTTTCTCCTTCAGTCGTATCTACCTAACTCACTATTTACAAACAAAAGCACAAAAAAAACCCAAACTTCAAAACAGAGGCTAGATTTTTTTGAAAAAAACAATTTGTAGAGTAAAAAATGAAAGAATTCTGTGTAAGTTAAAGAACAATTAGATCATACAAAGAATATATACAGCTTCAATCATTAATATAAAAGATTTTGAAGCACGAATCGAATTCTTAGGGTTATGTAAATTAATGATTTTTGATGATTGTCCCCAAAAGGAGAGAGATAGAGAGAGAGAGGAAGTTCGTTCGTGTACTTAATC